CATATTTTTTTTTACTCTGACTCCACTATTTCACTGAATTATAGGGTCTGACCAGGAGATAATGCTTCTCTTTAGATCTTAATGTCCACAAATCAGGACAGAAAGAACATTTTAGTACAAAGATTGATGTTTAAAAAGGAATTGTAGGGAACCAGCCAATGGCCCATCAAGGAAAGTGAGAAATTTTTGAGTGGCTACTACTGTATAGTGGAATTCATAGTGAACTCAGTTAACTGACTTGCCGTTCGGCAAGGTAGAGTCACATGACTCTACCTTGCCTTATTTGTCACCGCTGTCGGATAGCGACAGCCTATGGCCACAGGGGGCCGCTGTGACACCAAATCCCATAATGCTTTGCAAGGAGGGCTATCCTTGCAAAGCATTCCCGGATATTTCAGCTTTTCTGGTGACCATGGATGTTCACTGCTTTTCAAGGTGCATTGTGGGAAATTTCGATTCCACTAGTTTTTCATCCACTGACATTCAGACGCTCATCTAAAATGGTATCACCACAATATAGTGCCTTATATAGTGGTTCGGGTGGACATTCTGACACAGCCATAGTGCCTTGCCTATATACAGTACTCATCCGCCTTTAACTTTGCACAATGAAGCAATCTCAGCCTTACCTCAGATTCTTTATTAGATTTTACTGAGCTGTTACTGGACTCATCACACTCTTTAAATAACACTTCATAATCTATATGTATTAAGTAACCGTGAGTAATGACAACAGATTTTGACAGAAGTAGGAATTTTATTTGGACCAGAGAAGTTGCTTAGGGATACAGAAGGCAGCTGCTTAGCAATCAGGCTCACATCTCATGAAGTGGCCACGACTCACCTTCAGAGAATATTTTTTTTTACAACTCCAGTATGCCAGATCCTCACATCATTACATCATACATGTTTTTAATGAGGAGACATCCATGGCTCCAGCCTTATCAAAATATTACACTATGTTCTTAGATCAAGGACACTATTATCATTCCATTCCCACACTTTGCCTCCTACATAATGAAGATGTCTTTTTATCCTGACAGAGGAACTGTCCAAATTAGACAAACTACTTAGGAAAACATTAGTTCTGACCCACAACAGGCAGGTATTATTAGGGTTTAACAGACTCACAGATCATCAAATAGTTTAATTCTACACTATTACTTTCTGGCACTGGAATCCTCTTCAGGGTTGACTTTTTTTTAGCCTAAAGACAAACTCCTACCCCTTCCACAAGTTTGTTAAAGCCTCAAAATGACTTTTTTTTTCTTTGAGGGACATCCCTGTATTTACTGTAGCTACACCCATCTTACCACTGAGGGGTTTCCCTATTCCTGCTGCACAGCATAACAGGGCAAATACCATATTTCCCCATGGGGGGTGGTGTGTTCATGGTGTTGTGCAGAGTTAGTGTATGACTGAACATGGTGCTTTGCTTGCAGGGCAAACGTTTCATACACAGAGGTGAATACAGAGATTGTGACTCACTGAAAAGGTTGAGGTATCCAGAATCCTTTTTTTTTAACTACACCACCGCTTCTCTAATTCAGTATACAGGATACAGAATATATATTCCCTTTGAGAAATTGACTCAGAGGTCAAACTCTACATGTTCTGCAAGTCAAATCTACAAGCAGAACAAGTATAGACTAAAAATACCTTTGAAAAAAAGATTTTGTGAAGCTTACATAGAAGATAAAGAAAAAAAGAACATCAAATTTTCAACAAGTTATCAAACATCCTGTGCTCTGAGGCAGGGGGCTGATGGAAGCTCAGAGGCTTCCTATCAGATCTATCCAAGAGATGGAAATATTTTTTCTATCTTATTGCTCTCACAGGTAGCTGTGCCACAGCAAATAAAATGTCCACAGCATGGACTGAAGAGGATTCATGACACACAAAAAGTGAGAGAAAAGTCAAGTATGAAACATTTGTCCTCATAAATCACCAGAGCACTGCAGAGGCCAGTGAGACAAAATCCAATTCAGATTTTAGAAAGTGCTTATCATAGCTTGCATATTACAAATATAGTGCTTTTAATGTTTTTTTTTTGTTGTTGATTAAATCAATGTTTTCCATATAATGTGTCTGTTACTTGAGTCTATACAACTCTGATCAGGACACCCTAAAATAACAATAATGATATATAGATATTAGGCTTAAAAATGACATACTTGTTTGAAAATGCAAGATCAATATAAATAACTACAGGTTAAGGTAAAAAAAAAAAGAATATCTTCTATGCTATGTTTTGTTTGCCAATTGGTGCCCCTAACGAAGCAGCTACTGAATAAGATAATTCTATGAGTTCTTTCATAGAATTTGATTAGGGAAATTAAGACTGAAACACCTCGCTGTCTAACTCACAATGTGTAATACGATCTGCTAACTGGTCATCTTCTTCCTGATTTGCATGTAGAATGTAGTGTCAAAGTAAAACATATAAACCGATTAGAAGAAGGACTTGAGTGTCTTGCTTTAATAGGAGAAAAATACCAAATCGAGGAAAAAAAAACAATTAACTATATCTAAGATCCTCAAAAACAAACAAAAAAGATTTTTTTCCAAAATGTATTTTTATGTGTTTGTAGCTTTAATGAATAAAACTGAAGGTTTTAAAACTAAGCTGCTTTCTAGACAACATAATAAATTGTAATTTCAGGTCAGATTATGAAACTGTAGCCTACATTTTTCCCGTTACAGCAAAGGCCAGTTTAAGAATATTGTAAGATTAGAAAATAATGCAAAATGATCAATATTTCAAGATATTGCAGTAAAAAATAAAAAGCTTTAATCCAAAGATTGGAGCTAGAGTGGTGTATGTTGCAGGAGTTCGACCCGGAAATGGCAGGGTTGCCAGTTCAAAGCTCCTTCTGTCTCAGTTGTTGTGTTCTTGGGCAACACATGTCCCCTGCATTACCCACTGATAAAGGTTGGAGTGCCCAGTGGTTCCTGTCACTGTGCCCCCTCGGCAGCTGTGGCTGCATTGTAGCTTGCCACCATCAGTGTGTGCATGGGTGACTGACTGAATGTAGCATAAAGCACTTTTGCGTCTCCTGACTTAAAAAAGATATTAAATAAATAGAAGCCATTTGTTCAAAATAAATGGAAAAAATACTAATTACTAAAATAATCCAGTTGATATTAGTATTTCAGCAATCATTCAATTAATGTTATTATATTTATTATTTCAGCTAACACCATCTGCTCACCATTTGATCAGAAAAACAATCAAAGAATGTGAAAGTAAAAAAAAAAAACAATGTAAAAGTACCTAAATGAAGCTATGCATATAGAACATAAAAAAAAAAACAAAAACTTTCTTTTACTGACACACCTACAAATGCACTTATGGTGAAAAGTGACCTCTTAATAAAGTTCTGTTCTCTTAGTTATGGATGGAAAAGTAGCAAAAAAACTCTGAAAAACAATATTTTACTGGTAAATAAAAACTCCAAACCACAGCTCTAGCAGGAAAAGATAAAAATATATATATTTTTTATTTTTATTGTGTTAAACTTACAGCAGCTGCTATAATTTCTCTCATACAGCACCACTGTCTTCAACCTTTGCATAAAGATTGTTCCTGCCACGAATAGGAGAAAAAATATATATGTTTTTGCATAGCTTTAAAAAACAATAAAAATTATTAAAAAAAAACAGGTATAATAACTTAAAGCTGTGTAAAACCAAAGAACAGAAATCAACCATGAAGCTCTGATTGCTATAGCTCTAGTAGTTTCAATTATTAGACTCAATGATGGCCTAACACACATATGTTTGCAGATTGTGTAGCAGTGTCATTTGAGTGGAGTGTGCTGTTTATTGTAACACTGTTGAGTTGCTCAAGTTTTAAGCAAACTGTGTTCAGACCTTTCATTTTTCCGTTATAGTTTAGTTTTTTTTTTTTTTATTGTAACCATTTTTTCCTTAAATTAATTTAGTCTAAATTTGTTATGTTTTCATTTGTTGTTTTCATACTTCAGTTAATTTCAGGGCACAAGATCCAAAAAGGTATGGAAAAAGAGTATGAAAAAATACGGCATTTATGAAGTTGTACATATAGACACAAAAATATTTTCAAAAACTGGATCAATTAAAGCTGACTTTAAATGAGTCCTGAGGGAAAAAAAGCCCCGCAAAAATAAGATTTTGCATCAGTATGCAGGGCTTATAAAAAACATGGATAATCATGCAAATACAATTTTTAAATTTTGTATAAACACACAGTACTGTCTTGGTTACAGTATGCTCAGTTTTTCCCTTTAATTTACAGTTCTCATTAACTTCAGTTAACCAAGATTTTTACTCCATCTCAGCTGCTGTTTTTTTGTTAGTTTCAGTAAACTATAACAACCCTGGTCCAGACACTGTTGCTTTCTAACCTCATATGCATAACTTACAGCTCATAAGAAATAGAAAATGCTAAGAAACATAACATGACATTCATTTGCCAAATGTATAATGCTCTATCTTTGCATTTTTTTTAAATCTGCTTGCAGTACAGTAACATTATAATCAAACTAAAACAAGATGGGAGTCTTTGCATTTACAGGAACTTCTTCGCTGATCAAAGATTTATAGAAAAAGAAGATTGAAGACATCTCTTGAATTAACTTGTTAAAAAAGAAGTAATGGCGGGTTTTTTTGCCTTAAAAATCGACTGCTACTTGAAGGCATGATGTAGATGTTAACTGTATACCTTTAAATGATCTTAGCCTGAAAATGTTTGTCTCATTGTCATTACATCTTCCCGAAACAAATCTCAAACATAAAGAAGACCAAAAAAGAGAGGTCTGCTTTCTCTACCAAAAAGGCTGATGGTGAAAATGTATTTTCCATGTGTACAAGAACCTTTTAAGCTTGGATCGCTTGAAAGGCGCAGACACAAAAACCACAGGGAAAATGCTTAGTAAAAGTAAAAATATAGTCATAACTATCACCTACACAAAGACAATTTTCCATATCAACCAACCCTTAAAATAAAGAGGTTAACTTACCATCCTCTGTCGGCACATAGATGTTGAGGTAGAGGCAGTCCTCACTCTGGTTCTGTATGTATCCCGCTGCGACGTCCAGGTTATCCGTGAACCAAACTGGAAGCATTATCTCTGGTAGCACCCCGTGGACATTCTGAGGACAAACTGGAGCAAATTGGGTGGCGTTGCGGATCTCCTGCCAGGATCCTGGGGCTTCTGGAGGCTGAAACCTCCTGTCTCCAATGGGCGCTGTGGCGTAGGGCACTCCAAGGTACTGCTCCACAGGGCCTAAAATCTCATTGTTCAAGTCCTTCTTGACACCTCTGAGTTTGCCATAGTTGGTGCTGACTATGGGGTGCTTAGAGGGATCCATTCTCTGGCATGAGGCCAGACTGAAGAACAAGATCAGGCCCAGCACAGACATCAGGCAGCAGTCCGTCATGAATCTAAAGGGCCTTGTACTGCATAACAAAGCCTGTCGACTCTTTCTATCTAGAGATAGTGGAAGGTTATACATGGCTGGAGTCAAAGTGCTCAGCCACTTGCTTCTAGTCTGTTCTGTCAGTTCAGACCAGTAGTGAGGAGGGTAAACCATCACAAGATATAACACCAAAATCAGGTGAATTCTTCAATAGACACCTGGTAGAAGGTACGAAGGGAAAAACAGGGGTGATGGGGGGAGAGGGCTGATCCTTGGAATGAGATCCAGGTTAGTGGTAATTCTGATTAGAGGCAATCCAAAACACTTCTTCAGGCATGGTTCTGTTCCGTTCCATGCCTGTCCGTCTCACGTTGCCCGAATAATTGGATTGATCCTGCAGAATGAGACAAACAGAAGAAAACAGAGTTTAGAGGAGGAATGTGATGAAGACAGATTAGAATGAAAAACAGAGGGTTTAAGACACTGCTAAAATTATATATTATCTGTGTTTTTTCCTTTTCACTGTTGCCAAACTGAGCAAACAAGCTATAAAATTAGGGGACTTCCCTAGTCAGAGACAGCATTAAGTAGATAAAGAAAAACAAGGTTTATTTTGGCAACACTTATCACGGTGATTACTATATTTAAGGTTTGGGTGATTTAAAGTGACAAAAAGGTCTCTAGAGCTGTCTCACATTTCATTTTACTAGACTGTCCCTTAGAGCAATATACATGGCATAAAAATTACACATTGTAGACACCTCCTAATTTTAGTTTCAGTTTAGTCCTGAATCATTCCTTTCATGGGCCTGACAACATATGAGTAGCAATCATAACACAGATGAGGGTGTACCAATGAGTTGCCTCCTGGGCATCATATGGGAAAGAGCTCTTACTGTACAATAAATGAAAGAAAATAGACGTTTTTCCAATATCATAACCAGAAAAGTTCAGCATCACTAATTGACATAGTAGCACCATTTCATATAATTCTGTTTGGTTTGCTTGCTATAAACCAAATGTAAGGCCTCGCAGCACAGAGTTGAAGACTGACAATATTGCTAAGAAAAGCCATCATAAAACAGCCTTTAATTGGAGGCAACCAGACACTCGCTTAGATTTTTAAAAAAAGTTCAGAAAAGTAAAGACTAATTTAAAAAAAAAAAATTATAATTATAAACCTTCAGAAATTATAAACTAAAACTTTGCTTGACTAATGTGATGAAACATCATCCATTCACCCATTTTCAGTAGACTTTAATCTGCTATGACTTTGTCTGAAACATTTGTAGACTTGCGCTGCTTGGTATTATTTCTGTGTAATTGTGTACACCTGACAAGGTATTTGACTGATTCTCTGCAATTTTTGTTTCATATGCTTTAGCCTTTTGTTTACTTGTAGAAATAATTGTATTATCTTACAGTTAAGAGGTGTTTCATTTGTTATTTTGGCCTAGCTGAGCTTAAACCTCCCCCGTGTTGATCATATTTGCCTTGTAATTGGTGCATTCTGGCATAACTGCAGAATAAGTATTTGCTTTTTCTACACTAATTATTTCCATTATTGTGTTTTTCACCCTTTCCTGGACATTGTCCTAGCTGTTTATTGGTTGTATCATAAGTGGGAATCAAAGTGGGACATCAAACAAAGAAACAAACAAATTAAAAGAACTATGTGTTGTTTGTTCTTTTGGTCTGAAATATTCCAGTCAGAAGTGTGGTAAATATAGTTGGAACCCCTTGTTTAAAAAAAACCCCGAAAAACCCACAACAGTTGCAGAAATATCCTAATTCTGGCAAAAGCAATAACTAAAAGAAAAAACAAATCTAATAAAAGGAACAAATAAAAGTCAGACATTGCTTTTCAAACATTCAACAGATGTTTTTTTTTTTTTTTTTCAAAAAACAAAATAAACTATCGAGCAAAGGCTTGGGTAGAAATAAAGGTACCATTACATTATTATTATGTATGTTAAAAAACGTTTTGAGGCAATCACTGCAATCAAACTATCCCTGTATCTGTATGTGGGATTTCTGCCCCCCTCAGTAAGTATTTTAGACTATATTTCAGCTCCTTTCAAAAGTTCTCAATGGAATTTTAGGTCAGGGCTCATTGAAGTATTCTTCAGATTAGTCCAATGTTGTCTTTGTAGCAATTATTAGGTGTTCATAGCTGAAGGTTTGGGGTAACTGCCATTTTGCTAGACCAATGAACTGTGTGAGACCAAGCTTTCTGACACTGGGCAGCACATTTTTTTTTCTAGAACCACTTCATAGGCATGGGATTTCCTGCAGAGATTCCAGACCTCCTGTGCCAGAGGAAGCAAACCTTCCCCAGAACATAACAGAACCTCCTCTGTGTTTCTGAATAGGGAGGGTGGTGTTTCCTCGTCACGCTTTGTGTATCCCTTTGCGTAAAAAGAGCTCAAGTGCCTTGGCAAAATGTTCCGCTTTTGTTTCATCTGCCCATAAAATATTCTCCAATGGGTTTTGTGGCTTGTCAACATGTAGTTTGACTAATTCCAGTTTAGCTTTGTTATTACTCGTTTACAACAATGGTGTCCTCCTTCTTCCTTTCTTTATTAAGTCCAGTTTGGCTCGAACAATGGTAGAAGGAGTGATCTGACACCGATTTTCCTTGAACTTGATGTTCACCTTTAATTTCTTTAGCAGTTTTTTCTGGGCCCTTTAGTTTTCTTTCGTATCTATCTCTTTGATTTGTCATCAATTTTCCTCCTGCAGCCACATCCAGGGAGGTTAGCTAAAGTTAAATGAATTTTACCTTTCTGAATAATATGTTTAACTTTAGTCACAGGAACATCAAGCTGCTCTGAGATGGGGTTATAATATTTACTTTAAAAAGGCTTGTCTAAAATGTTCCCTCCAATCTCTTGAGACAACCCTTTCTTTCTCTTCCTTTGGTCCATGTTGAGTGTGGTACACACCATGTTACCAAGCTGCACAGTGACTGCCTGTAGCCCTATATCAGGCATGCCTAAAGTTGATCCTCAATGGCCGCCATTCTGTAGGTTTTACAGGTTTTCCTGCTCCAGCACAGCTGATTTTCTTTGATAGCTGGTTAACAGTCTTTTTGCTAAACTGCAGTCATCAGAATCAGCCCTTTTCACCTCTAAAATCGGCAGAAAAGGGCCTCTCAAGGATCAACTTTGGGCATGCCTGTCCTATATAAATGCCCACTTACAGATTACAAGTTTGTAGACACCTGTGATGCTAATTAGCGGACTCCCCATGATTTAACATGTCCCTTTGGTTACCTTTTTAATTCCACCCAATCCACTCATTGGGATTTATCAACCAAAGAAAAGAAAATAGATGCACAGAGTAAGTAAGGAAAATGCAAAATTTAAAAGAACTGGTTCTTGGGTGACCTGTTCACTGTTTTTTTTTCCTCATAACACAAACAGGACTTTGTAAGACTGAAACGCACTTAGTTGCTTGAAAACCATGAATTTGTTCACTCTAAGCTGGTGAGACGTGCATCAGAACCAAATCCTTCCTAGTTGATCTGTGTTTAACATGGCAGCTCGTTCATTTATATCACAAGCAAATCTCTACAGAGAAGTAATGTTTTCTAGTGCATGAAGCTGAGCCACTTCATTTTTCCTCATCTAAAGACTTTACTACTCATTCCTCGATTTTTATGGTTATTAATTTCCTGGATGCTTTAGGGTTGCTTTTGCAGATAAAGTACAGTGGATGCAGTGGACAGAGAGCAGAGGCTGGAGATTAGAGGGATCCTTTCACTGCCCAGAAAGGTCAAAGGTCAATAATGTGTTCCGGTAAGCAGCTTATAACAAGCTGGGACATTTTCTAGCTGTACGCAGAACAAGGATGCATTTAGTAAGCCTTTACTGACCCACAGATGAATGAAAACCCACTCATAGTACAACCATTCATCTAATCTAAGGTGGAAATTCTGTAATCTTCATGTAACAGAATGCAAGTCAACACATAAACAAGGCCTAGAATATAATATGCTGGCATAACATGGGATTGCTGATTATTATCCAACGGTTAGAGGGGATCCTGACATTAGGTCTAATAACATATTTCCCGTTTAAGGCCTTGATTATTTACACCTCCATATTTCATCATATTGCAAATCTAAAAGTATACAGAAGGTATGGTTAAACTCTAAATTCATCATTCTCCTGCAGATCAAGCAGTAAATATATATGGAAATTCAACCTAGACATTTCAAGAAATCTCCCAACAGATAATAAAAAAGGTATAAAAGGCTTTTTGAGAACTACATATATATATGGTATCAAAAAATATGCCATAAAATATTTATACAATTATAAATAAATGGAAAAAAACGTAATCTACCGCTTACTCTATTTGGGGACCTTTTTTTTTTTTTACTGTTTCTAATGACATTTAGTGATGAGGTAGTCTTTGAGGTTGAACAACTTCTCTGCCCTTATCCTAAGCCTCATATTAATCCACAAATTATTTATAAAATTCAGGTTGTGACTTTAGTTGGGCTTTTTTAAGACCTGAAAATGACTTCAAGTAAAAATAAGGAGATGAGAAAAATAAGTAAATACAAAAAATCAAGAATTAACCTAATCGTGCCTGGGGTATAAATAAATTCTATAAAGATTTGTAGTAAAAGTAAATGTGGTTTCCAGTGTATACTTTTTTTGTCAGAAACAACACTGTCAGCAGATACTATAGGTCACAGCACAGAACACATACAAACACATTCATGAGAAAACATGCAGGAAAAGAAAATAATTATCTCTTTCAATTCACCATTGCACCTTCCTCTCTTTTACACACTCTCCTGCTTGATCACCATAATTATCCATTTTAAGGCCCTCATTAACTGAGTTAATGCTCCAGCTGAAGCATTTCTGTGTTGTTGTTTCCTCTTTTTTTTTCTCTCAATGCCAATAAAGCCATCTGAAAGAGATATTATGAGAGTTAGATGTCCTGAGGCGAGACAGCGGATAATTGGAGTCTATAGACTGATGAGCGGATAAAACGAGTGATTCTCCTTCATGTAACAATAAAGTTTATGTACAACAAGATCTTTGACGGAAAAATATCCGTGAAAACTATGAATTCTTTCAGCTTGTATAATTGTGACGCAAACTACAGCATCTTTAATTGCTCATTGTCTCTTTGTGGTGCAGTGGCTTCAGACTAAAATATACCACCGCCTGCCTTTGTTCTCCTTAGTGTGGACTTTGTTGTTCTGCCCACGCGCCCCTCTGTTCGTGTGTGTGTGCTTCTGCATGTACATATATGCTCTCAGAGAAGCAGGGCAGCACAATGCACACTCTAATTAAACCATGGAGAGTCTAGAGGCTGGCCTGCTTTGAGCCGAGCCCCCTCGCCAGCAGAAACTCAGACACATTCATACAT